CATTTAAGACCTGCTTTGGGCCTCAAACCCCCGACGAGAGAGTGTCAGAGCCGGGACAGGAAACGGAATGCATGACTTGCAATGGAGCTGTTTACGGAAGTTGTTCGAATGCGACCACGGTTTGGAAATAGAAGCTTGCCGAGACAAAGAACATGATTGAACATTCTATAAGAAGGCCCCGCTTTGAACAGCGCAGTAGGTTCTGGTCCTGGTGCTTCGAAATCCATCTCTATCCGAGGCCGGAATATGTTCCGTCTTTAGCTCTTGATTTAGCTTGAGATAAACGAGCAAGTGGACGGATGAGCCCCCTCGCAACACTCGCTTCCGCCGTATTAGAGTTCCCTAACCTGAAAGTTAGGTGATGTGCAACCATCCTGACGAACCAGGCCTAATTTGTGCCTGTTCAGCATGGCCTCTGAAAATGGCTGTCATTGAGAACTGTGTTGCAGACGTAACGTCACGAACTTTTTTGGCTTGCGTCGTTCTTGTCCCGCAACCCGTGGACCGACCACCTGGAACACCTCTGGAGTCTGGACTGCGTACACTCTAACCATCGTCGTGTTTCCGATCGGTTCAAGCCAACCTGCCGATTACGTTACACTGGCGACACTCAAAGAAGTAGTCATGCCCGGTGTTTTATCGTGTTACTACTGGCAGTTATCAGAAGCACGTAGATGCGCACTTCTCCACATTGGTGGGCATCTCGTGAAAATAGTCCTCGAGGGAAATTGTAAGAATGTAGATTATAGATACAAGAGTTGCAAAGTGCGAAAGAGAGAGAGAGAGAGAAGAAATGTCCAAAAAAAAAGTTTGATTCCTCCAAGCATAAAGGCCGAGTACCTAACCGAGAATCGCTTACCGACTTCAACTCTTGTATCTACTCGGAGAAGGAAGGGATAAATAAGAGATACCGAGGTGACATGTACAAAAGGCCAAGAATGCGCGAGCAGATTATGCAGGCAAAAGGCCAAGGCATCGAAAGAGATCACACAGAGAAAAAGGATGGTGAAAAAAGGGTTCTGCCGCAGAAATGCACACGAGGCAACCCTAGAGGGAAATCGCTTCTTTAGGATGGCTTCGAGATAAAATGCCCTTGACAACCTAGGATCTTAAGATGCTCAAGATGCCTGGGAGTGGTCAGCCGTCAACGCGAACGCCATCTCTATCTATACCTTCGGTAAATTCATGGTAGGAGATGACGATGATAATGGGCAGCATATTTTCGAAAAGACACTCGTGTGTAGAAGCGAGAAGAAGAAATGTCTCGACTTATTGATCTAGGACTTAGCTCCAGCTTCCAAGAATTGTTTATTGGCATGAACAAGAGTTCAAGGTCGTGGATCCAGGACTCTGCGTTAATGGTAATAATATCTGGCAATCTTCCTTGGCAGGATTCTTGAACTGTGGCCGAAACCCCCGCGCAACAATAATTCTGATTTGGAGCTACGACTGAATATCGTGAAGCATTTTACACCCTCAAGTCTCGGGGCCGTACCACTTCCGTACTCAGCATCTGTCGTGACTTTCGTATGCACGTTACGCCAGGAATCAGTCAAAATCTGACGAATTCTTACTACGACATAGCCATATGTATGAGTAGGGTCTACTGTGTTCACAGGTGTAAAGCACATTTTTAACCACAGCAGTCTGCATCAGATTCGTGATGTGGTACTCTTAGGAATTCCGGCAATCGGATCTTGGTTCTGCTTCTTGTCTTGTATGGAAGAGAGTTTTACCAGAGATTATTACTTCTTGTCCTTAAGACTCCGTCTCTTGCAAGCAGCGCCGATTTGAAAGTCTACATTCATGGTGAACTTTTTATGGAATGGGAGTCCGGAAACGCCTCACGAATCTCCACAGAGATAGGCTCTAATTGGTTCACGAAGATGCACAGTTCGACTTCTAGCATCTACCAGTTTGACTGACGTGAAACCAGACCTTAAGCAGGGTAGGCTCTAAAAAGTTTTCACAGAAGTGGCTAAAAAAAATTCCTCCTCCATGTGAAGTTATCGAGGCTCTTTGGGTTGGTATTTAAGCTCTCAGTGTGAAGTCAGTGGAATATACGAGGCGAGGTGAGGTGGAAGGGGAAAGGAAAGGGCGGATGAGGATCAAAGTGTAGAAACGAAGGGCCACGAAAGAACATCCAACACGAGGCACGGCCCTCCAGGTACAGTAGACGGGACAACGACAAACTGACCTCACCACGAAACGTTAGATTTACACTTTTTCATGTGGGTTCATCCTATAGGGAAGTCCAACTCATCCACCATATGGAATCGATGAATAAGCTCCATGTCATTTGCTTGTGACAGTATGATCTTCCATCTTATGTGACGTGACGAGACTTGCACGATATTACTCATCATGGCGAAGTCACAGGTGGTAGACATTCATTCAATTTCTACCAGTCGGCATGAGTCTGCAATTTGCTTCCTCTCAGCATCTCGTGACACAAACTAGAAAAAACATGCTACCTATTAATACTATTTGATCATCTGAGATGACAATGCAAAGAAATAAATCTAGATAAAACGTGCTAACATTTGATTCTATCTGATCATATGAGATGACAGTGCAAACAACCAAATCCATTCATTTCTTTATTCAAGTGATCCCTTTTGGCAATTGATAGTTAAGACATAGCTTTGAAGTTTGTAAAGCACAACAAATTCAGCGCATAGCAATTAGAAAATAGAAAGGCGTAGTGGGACGATATCCGAGCATACATGCTGATGTTAGATGTGGGATGTACCAAAAGAAAAAACTTGGAAAACTTGATTCTTAAATTACATAAGTAAAATATGGATGGATATTGCGATCAATAAGTTGACAACTCCACTGTACAATCTCTTTTTGAAATTTTTATAAAGACATGAAATTGGATGTAACTGGATGATTGTTGTACCAAAGGGCTTTGTTTCGTTGGACTTGTTTTTGCCCAAGTCTTAAATCTGATACTACAAGTGGATCTTTATGTTTATGTTGCGGATCGCCCGTCGAAAAATTCTTAATGCTTCCAAAGATCGTTGAGATAAGTCGTTAAGATCGCTAAGTTTTCATGTCCTTATAAGACTCACAAAGAGAATTAGTAGAGTGCAGTCGTCAACTTGTTGATAACATGGCTTCAACTCATGGTCATATGCGGACAAAGTGTACTCAACACCATGCAAGAGCCCACTGCCGGTGACTGAACGTCGAAGAAATAAAACAATCTTCAAAAGAAAGCAAGAGTGCCCAGCCCTTATTCTGCAAACCTCTAAGTTTCCCATGGAAGTCATTTCATGTTTCGCCGTAAACATGCAAAGACTATCACTAAGTCTCCAGATGTTATAACACATCACAGATTGTGCGACGAACGTAGTTGACGAGCTCAGTTTGTTTAGCTCATTCATAGTTTTGGCATGCTTCTTCATAAGTCACATTCTCCAGGGAGAGAAACGGGCTTGAAAAATATCCCATTTTTGTCCCGGAGATGGTGGATTACGCAGCTCAAACCTGTCCGAATTATTATTTAGCTCTTAAAGCAACGAACTCAGTAAGTGGCCTACTGCAGGGGCCGCAAGAGCATCTTTCTTGTGGAGTTGACCGAGAGACTGTCCAGAAAGTGGACGAGGAGGAGTTCATTCAGAAGTCGTAGACGCCTGAGGACAAAAGTGACGATCCCTCCCGTCGGATGCACCCGCAGGCCCTCTGCTGGTCTGGACACCGGCGGATTGATTGCGCAACGAGATCCACCAGAGATTCAATCCGGTCCTCTTCGTGAGGCCGAGTCAGGTCCTCGTCCTCGTCCTCGTCCTCGCCCTGGTCGCGATCGGAGGGCGAAAGCGGCACCGAAGTGTTCCCCAGCACAATCTCGGCTGCGGCGATCGATCGACCGACCGGGGGCCCTGCTCCGTGACACTTGTGTCGCCCTGAGGCCGCCAGGTCAGCATCCGCCACAGGTCTCCGAATCGAGCAGCGCCCCTGCGCTCCTCGCAGCCAACAGCGCCAAAGCCGGGGCTCAGTTGCTGTTGGCACCCGAGGAATCCCCCCCCCCCCCCACCCGCGAACGCTGCTAATCTCCCCCCGAGCCGAGGATGCGGCTGGGCAAAATTCCCCGCGGAGGCTTTATAATATCCACCCTAACTTAACGGTACGACATGCCCCCCACTTCCTCCTAACGAAGTCGACGAGAAAAGAGAGGGAAAGGCGGCCACCGTGACCATGCGGGGTCCAGATTCTACGCGGTCGATTCTCGTGCGAACCACGGCGCGGGCAGCGCAGGGAGGCAGTGGTCACATACGAAGGAGGGAGGCAGCGGGCGGGCCCATGGAGGGCTGTGCCCACCGCAACTGTGCAGGGTCCAGATTCGACGCGGTTGATTCGCGGGCGAACCACGGTCCGGACGCCGGTGGCGCAGAGAACGTTCTGGAGCGGGTGGAGAGGCCGGTGTGGAAGATCGGACGGCGGGCGGCGAGGCGGGGCCACCAGCAGGGATCGGGCGGCGGCGATGGCAGCCCTGATGGCGAAGAGCAGAGCAGCGTTCACACGAGAGCGGGTTCGGGGAGGTTTGGGAGCTGGCTCGGGGGCCCAACTTCTTTGCCATATTTGGGCGGAGGGAACCTCCCGAGCCCCGAAAGGGGTAAGGGGCGGGGGTCCAGGGTGTCACCAAATCTTTCGGCCCGCGGGCGGATTACAGCGGGACCGGGACCGGGACGCGGGCCGCAGAGGGCTTTTGGTGAGGGGCGAGAGAATGTCTGAGGGCCTAATCAGCAGGACGCAGAAGGAGAGCCCGAGACCAACTTCTTTGCCAGAATTGGGGTCGGGTTTAGCTGCGAGGAATCGCGAGTGGAGGCAATAGCGCATCTGCGTGATCTCGCAGCGAGAAAATGTCACAGCAACATGTACAGACAGCGGGGGCGAGCTAAAGATAGAGATTCTTCCATCTATCTGCCATGAGAAACAGAGCAGTCGACTGTGAGCCGAGCACGTATAAAATTGCAGGATGCGCAAGTTCAGTCAATCCATTCCAGTGCAGTTGTGTATTGTGAGTGTTGGTGGTCAGTCGGCGGTGGTGCTGCTGTGCATGCTCGAGCAGAAGCAGAATCGGGGCGGATCAGCTGGCTCCAATTCTCGGAGGGCTGTCAATTGCAGTGGTGGATCGTCGTCATGAGTTCCGACGGTGTCTCGAACGGCCTGCCTGGCTTGAATGGCCTGAGCAGAATTGCCACCAGCGCCAATGGAGCCGGGAAATCGCACCGCGAGGTGTGCGCCGATGACAGTGTGCCCACCGTGCAGGCGCAGAACGTCGAGGAGCTGCACTCGCGGCAGATGAAGAAGTCGGCGCCCTCGACGCCCCGCGCAGGGCTCACCCCGAAGGCCGGATCGACCCCGAAGTCGGACGACGACCGCCAGCGCGAGCAGCTCGAGTCGATCAGTACCTCGCTCGCCTCGCTCACTCGCGAGAGCGGGCCGCAGGTGGTGCGCGGCGACCCCACGCGCAACAAGGCCACGAAGCAGGAGCCCGTCAAGGGCAAGGCGGCGAACGAGCCCTCGGCGCGAGTCAGCGACATCACCGACTCTGCGCTGAAATTCACGCACGTCCTCTACAATCTGTCCCCGGCCGAGCTGTACGAGCAGGCGCTGAAATCCGAGAAGGGATCGTACATCACGTCCACCGGCGCATTGGCCACCCTGTCGGGCGCCAAGACCGGGCGATCCCCCAAGGACAAGCGCGTGGTCCTGGAGGAGAGCTCGCAGGATGATCTGTGGTGGGGCAAGGGCTCGCCCAACATCGAGATGGACAGCGAGACCTTCCTCATCAACCGCGAGCGCGCCGTGGACTACCTGAACTCGCTCGAGAAGGTGTTCGTGAACGACCAATTTCTGAACTGGGACCCGGAGAACAGGATCAAGGTGCGGATCATCTCGGCCCGCGCGTACCACTCGCTGTTCATGTACAACATGTGCATCCGGCCCACGCCCGAGGAGCTCGAGGACTTCGGCACGCCGGACTTCACCATCTACAACGCGGGCCAATTTCCCTGCAACCGCAGAACGCACTACATGAGCTCGTCCACGAGCGTGGACGTGAACCTGAAGCGCCGCGAGATGGTGATCCTGGGCACGCAGTACGCGGGCGAGATGAAGAAGGGGCTGTTCAGTCTGATGCACTACCTGATGCCCAAGCGCGGCATTCTGTCGCTGCACTCGGGCTGCAACATGGGCAAGCAGGGCGACGTCGCATTGTTCTTCGGGCTGTCGGGCACGGGCAAGACGACGCTGTCCACGGACCACAATCGGTACCTGATCGGCGACGACGAGCACTGCTGGTCCGACAACGGCGTGTCGAACATCGAGGGCGGCTGCTACGCCAAGTGCATCGACCTGTCGCAGAAGGGCGAGCCCGACATTTGGAACGCCATCAAGTTCGGCACCGTGGTGGAGAATGTGGTGTTCGACGAGCACACGCGCGAGGTGGACTACGCCGACAAGTCGGTGACGGAGAACACGCGCGCCGCGTACCCGATCGAATTCATCCCCAACGCGAAGATCCCCTGCGTCGGGCCGCACCCCAAGAACATCATTCTGCTCGCCTGCGACGCCTTCGGCGTTCTGCCGCCCGTCAGCAAGCTCACTCTGGCGCAAACCATGTACCACTTCATCAGTGGCTACACTGCAGTGGTCGCCGGCACCGAGGACGGCGTCAAGGAGCCCACCGCCACCTTCTCGGCTTGCTACGGCGCGGCCTTCATCATGATGCACCCGACCAAGTACGCGTCCATGCTCGCCGAGAAGATGCAGAAGCACGGCGCCACGGCCTGGTTGGTTAACACCGGCTGGTCCGGAGGTGGTTATGGAGTGGGCTCTCGCATGCGCCTCGCTTACACCCGCAGTATTATTGACGCCATTCACGACGGCTCCCTGCTCGACGCCGAGTACGTCGACACGCCCATCTTCAACCTTCACGTGCCCAAGGCCGTGGCCGGCGTGCCCACGGAGATTTTGCAGCCCCAGAACAGCTGGAAGGACAAGGATGCCTACAACGCCAGCCTGAAGAAGCTCGCCGGCCTCTTCCAGAAGAACTTCAAGAACTTCAGCGACTACGAAGTGGGCGGCGACTCCAACCTCACTCACGAAATCCTGGCTGCCGGCCCCATTATTGAGTAAATAACCTCGACTTGTGCATATAGAGTTTGGTGGTGGTTTCATAAGGAATGCAGCAGCAAAGAGCTGCCTCTCCAGTTCTATCTAGATATGATACAGACGGCTGATTTTGGGTTCGGTTCTTCAAGTTGGACACCTTTTTTGCACTCTGGCTCCCGGTTCTGTAGTTTTGGCAGCATACGAACGTCGTAGGCCTACTTTACAGTGGACAAACGTATATACATGTACATGTGAGAAAACGCGCACCTCCGGACCTCGACCTGAATTCGGCTCGGTCTCCGGTGGTAAATTTTTTGCTATATCAAGATATTCTTCTCGAGTGTTCAAAAAATCGAGCCTACTTCTCAGATTGAATGTTGGATCCCATGTTTTGAGCCTGGACTCAAAGAAGGGCAGTGCTCTGTTCGTCTTGTTGCGCGTAACCTCGTGTCTCATGTCTGTCATCAGCGTTCTGCTGCTTTGCATGCATGGAGAGCGTTTCATGACTTTGTGATGCAGACGCTACAGGCCTAGAGAATTTTAAATTCGACAAACTTTATGTTCTTTGATCCTCTGGATGTAGATTTGGATTTATTAGGTGCACGTGTAGTTTCGTTTCCTCTCATACATCTTCACGTCCTCTGTCTCTGGGGAAGGGTACTGACGATACCGCAGAGTGCTATATTCGGGGTATCTGATTGTTCGCATACTGTGTCCAGATTTGCAGCGTCAAGCATGGGCAAATAGCAGCAGCAGCAGCCAAATGGACACAGAGGAGGATTGCTCTAACTTAGTTGATCATGACCTGAGAGAAGAAAGTGACGGCTGAATACGAAATCATGCGAATCGTTTACTAGTCTGAAAGATTTCTCGCAGTCGTTGTCCCTTGGGTCCAATCTTTGATAGAAAAATTCTCCATAACATGTTCCTTGAGGGGAGAAGTGAATGGGACATATGTAGCTGTGCAACTACTGAAACTGAGGTTTCAGTAGTTGCGCTCTGTTGATGGAACCTGAGAGTTATTTCCAGGGTGAGCAGTGCGTCGATGTGAGAACACGATCAAGTATGAACTTGATGAAAGCTTAAGGGGGAAATCGAATCTCAGAGCGGCGTTATTCACACAAAGAACGGCAGAATGACGTCCTGAAACTTGAGCTACTGGGAAATCGAATCTTAGAGCTGCGGTATTCACATAAAGAACGGCAGAATGACGTGCTGAAACTTCAGCTACTCCTGGAAAAGTGGAGGACATAACACCAACTCTCGCTGGCAAATGTTATGCGGAGGACAGCGTGTTCTTGAGCATCAAAAAATATCTCATCACGCTTGTTTCATGAGTTTCTCCGAACTCTGAACTGACGAGAAAATCCTAATCACGTTCTGGCCTAGCGATTAGAGCAGCTCAATCCCAGAAATTTTATTTATGAAGCGTTTGTCAATTTTGCCTAATTGTTCTTAGGACAGTGTTGTTCAAACTGTAAGTTGCCTTGAGCAGACTAATTTCCGCAGCAATTCTACTTTGCCTCGTCAATACAGCTGAGTCTCTGCTCCCTCACGGTCAAATTGGAGCCTCATCGCACACACCGTGCTCTTATTTCGCAGTGGAGTCAAATATAGAGCCTTCGTACGAGTTTATCAGCTGATTGGAGCTCATTGTTGTGTGCGACTTTCCCGACTTCCCTCGAGATTCACTAATTCGGCCAGAAGCTGGCCGAATTACGCGAAGGGTTGAAACTGTCGCCTTCGTGTCTAATCTGTGAGCATCGTCTGCTTGTGTACACATTCTTAGAAGCTATGCAACTTGTGGACGTAGCCAGCAGACAGATCTGAGTTGATTCCGGATAAAGGCAGTCAAAGGCAGTTTGCAGACTAGAGTAAAAAATCTGAGTGTGCTAGATGTCTTTTACCTTGTCTGTCAAAATGATCTCCCATCGCAGGACCAGCTTCCGACAACTCACTGCCATAGACATCTATATACATGATGTCCTGCGTTGTGCATCTGGAACCACCAGTGCAGTCGTTTCAAGGGTTGACCACAGGGAGATCTGTTCAGCACAATCGTGAAATTTGATTCAGACTGTATACAGATCATAGAAGGCAGTTATAAGGCGATTTCGAGCATCACGTACTCAATGAGCTAGATATGAAATTCAGTGTTATTTCAGTCTATTATTGACAGATTTTAGCCAGACTCTTGTAGGTTTAGCTGAAACCTGGTGAAAGGTGAATTATGGTCGACGCTGATTTGGTTCATGCGTATTTCATTGTCATTTCAGATTCCTGCATAAAGACTGTCGATAGTTCATAGAGGAAGGCCATGATCGGAAAGCAACGATTATACAGAAACAGACCTTGAGATTCAATGACAAAGATCATTCTGTCTTTAGCTTATATTTTGCACAGCAAAAAACTATCCAGCTGAGGTGAGGTACCCAAAAGTGTCAATGTCAGAGCAGCTTTAATAAAATCGTAGGCTGACTTCCACGTCTTTTTTGGGTCTGAGCGTTGAATTGGAGAAAGGCAAAGGAGCTTCACAAACTCGAACCTGGCGCACAGATGTGAACTGTGGGACTCGGACTGCTCGTCATGGACTCAAATCCTTGGTGCTCAACACCAGAGCTATCTGACGCACCATGGTATTGCCATTGGGTGACCTCAGCACACACCTTGCTGAGTGATTTCAATCCAAAGCCGCACTCCAAAGACTTCCCATGTCCAAGCCGCTACCCCGCCTCTGAAGGTTTCAAGCAGACGGAATTGATTAAAACTTCAACACAAGGTTAGAAGCTTGACTCTGATTATCAGAGCGAGGTTTCGATCCTCGGACCTGTGGGTTATGGGCCCACCACGCTTCCGCTGCGCCACTCTGATTGATGCGTTTATTTGAAACATTTAATTATTTATTTTTCTATTTTGTTTTCTGTGCAACTTTCAGTCAATCACAGGATCCGCTCTAGGCATCTGAATTCGAGAAGATGTGCACAGCCTGAAGTAATTATGATGCAAGGGACGGCCATTTGGTACTGCGCTCAGTGATGTGCAATGACTCAATTGCATGTTCGATCCCATCAAATGATAGAATTCATAATATGTCCGGAATCTGCAGTGACAGATCCACGGGTAAACAAGGATTCCAGGGACTCTTCTTTTCATCGCGGGAAGATGGGTGGAAGTCTTTGCAGAATGCAGGTACAAGATCTGCGCACCATATTTCGTTGTTTATCGATACATCTGCGAGTGCGTTTCTTCGAACAAGGTGGGTCTGACGAGAAATTTGAGGTGTGTGAACATCTCCAAATTATGATAATAGTAACTGTATGACTTCTAAGTCCTCATAATCGAACAATCACCCGATGACATGAAAGATGCATGTGCCTATGATCCAGCCATTGAGTGTATCAGTAATGAACGTTCGGTTGATGAGTTTTAGTGATGAATGCATGTATAACGAGAAATACACAACAAATCGAAGTTTCGAGAATGCAGCTCTGGCTACCGAATGAATGTTTAATGGATAAGAAACACGGACAAAAAATTCTTCTGTTGGTGAAATCACAAAATTGCAGAACTTTCGAGACTGACGTGAAGATTCTCGTGAGGGCATCATAGTCCTCTCGAAAAGGGAGCTGAAAACGGGGAGATGGCCTAGCTGTTGCTACAATTTGAGATTCAAGGTGGGGCGGACGTTTTGAAGGTTTCCTCGCGAGTTCAACGCTAAGGGACAAAGGCGTTGCTCAAACCTCAGCATCAACGGTACCAAACATGCTGGCGTTGAACGACCGAGACGAGGCACGGCGAATGCCGTCGCCGTGGCTTTCATCTCACGGCTACATAATTCGAACGGGGGGTTGCACAAGATTATCCTTCATCTTCGTGTGAGGTGAAAATCAGTGCTACTGTTTAAAAAGCCGGGCCCAGATTCAGTTAGCAACGTAAGGAACCTCACATCGTATTGGACAAGCAGAAAATGTGGATTGGAATTCAAGCTCGGATGGACGATGCACATGTCAGAGCTCTTATGAGAATGGGATCTAACCTCTTACCTACGGTTTCTTCTGAAATCCCTCAAAGCCTGGTTTCGCTCCTACATCTTGTTATGAGGATTTTACGGTTTGCAACATCATAGGAAGTCTCTTTGACGTATTAAGTATCAAATCTGGTGCTCTGAGAGCTAATGAACGGAGAGGCCATATAGAGAGCAGGCTTTAGATACACAACGGCAAATTCTTCTTAAACCTCTAGAATAAGGTTCGGACCAGTCATTTAACAACTTGCTAAAATATCCATGGTGATTGGAAAAACATCACTTGAAACTCAAACTCTAAGGGAGATGCCAAAGCCAACTCTTCTGAAAAATTGGTGCCTGAAATAGCTGAAAGAATTTTAATTTTTTTTTCTTTTCTACCTCTCCTTGGGATTTGGTGGACTATATATTCATTCATCCATGAATGCTTCTTGCTCGAGTTCTGAGCAGCTGAGCAGCGTACTGTTAAACAATCATAGAAACGTTTTATTAATATCATCCTCATGGAGGATTTCGACAAGACCTCGTTTACATCATACTTTCTGTCAATGTAAACGCGTCTTTTCTGATCTCACTTCTGAGCGATTTTCAGCTGGTAAGACATTGCAACTCACAGCATCAAAGTTTCTAGATAGTGTACACTCGAGCTGAAACTTTTCCTACTGGATCTTTGAAGAGCTTGAGGAAATCCGTGGGCGTATGCCTTCTGTAGATAGTCTTCAAGGGGACCATAGACTTGTGTCATCCGGGTAGAAGTGGAATCCAAAGTCTTGTCCCTTCTTCATCTTGACCTCGTGTTTCTTGATTTCAAGTCTTCTGGCATCTGAAGCCAAGAATTGATCCATCTTTTCACACGCTTTCGGGCCAAATATTCTTTCCATGATTGAAATTTGGCCGTGGGTTTGAGGTGCCACGCTCCTCCATAACGAGATATGCGCTTTCGCTCTCTTCTCTTCACTGCTCTCAGAGGAAGAAACATAATAGCTTAGTAGGATATTGAAAGCCATAGCTGCGGAACGTAGAAAACATTGAAAAGGAGCTAGACTGACTCGTTCTTTAGCGTTCTGTTAGTTCGATCAGGTCTCAAGCTGGACTGCATGATTTCAGTTGTCTAAAGATTTCTGCCTCGTCTAATATGCACGTGCTGCAGTAGAAGACTTGCCAGCCAGTCAGTCAAATTACGAGATATTCAACTTTGATATTAGCTGCTCATGAGAACATACCTTCCCACTTTTACATGCGAGTCTCTGTAGCAATCAAGTTCGTTATATATTTGAATGGTTGCTAAGCTCTCCAGCTTCAGTAGTAGCTTCTTCAACAATTTAGAAGCCGGGTTCGGACCGCAGGATGCCAAACTCTTCTTCTCCGGACTTGCTGTACCTGTGAATAAAGCAACTGCGGATTTATTGACTTTGACAGCTCCCTTTGTTCGATCATGAGCCAAACTCTTCTTCTCCGGACTTGCTGTATCTGTGAATAAAGCAACTGCGGATTTATTGGTTTTAACAGCTCCCTTTGCTCGATCATGAGCGCTCTCCTCAGAGCGTTCAGCCAGGATCAGACTTAGCAAGGATTCGGGTCTTCTCTCCGTACTTGCCATGTCTGCAAATGCAAAGGCCATAGATGCACGCCAAGTTCGTAGATCAAGTGCTGCGTTGAATTGCAGCTTGTGAATGTGGCGTCCAGAATATTAGCAATTGCTGTAACCTGTCAGTTCTACACCGTAACCACTTTCTCGTCTCACTAGATCTACACCCAGTGACTACTTAGCCAGGGATGATCAGAACACAGTGAGCCTTTTGAGCTCCAGTCTGTATCCCTCTCTCGCTCTATGTTTCTTACCCTGCTTCTCTCATAATGGTTATACAAAGCGCTCGCCAGCTATTTATTCCAGATGCGTTTGCACTTCTCCAAACTGAAAAATCAAACCACGAGTTTTTGCTCAAACTCCGACGTTCAAATATGAGTTCCCCTGGGCCATAGCGGCTTCCTGACTCGATGTTCATTTGGACACCAGTTATAACACCTTCCTGAATGAACCATTTTGGACCAAATTGTGATGATACCCGTTTGTGTGGTTTCGAAATTCAATTTTCTCCCAACTGCTATTGCTATCATTCCTGAGGTGGCTTGTTTATTTGCATGTCTTCTATAGTCACGCCATAGTGATTAGATATTTCATGTTTCTGATACTACTACGCAAGAACTTCAACATCAAATTTGTCGACCATTTTTTGCGATTTGCGCGCGGTGAATGTAAGACAATTATCCATCACGCTACGCTATGATTCTTCTCTGATTTATTTTTCAACATTTACAGTTAACTAGACACCAAAGCATCTACTTTAAACGTGTCAAAAAAGTGCATGAACAATGTGTCGATGATGTGGTATTTCTTTGCATAGGTGAAGAAACTCTTATCACACAATCTATAAACGAACCATTTCCACCTGTGGTAAGTTGCGATCTATATTTATGCCGCTTAAAATTGATAATTTCGCTGTTATACATTTCGCTGATTGATAAAATATATAATTAGAAACACTTTCAAGGTTAAGTACTTATCACCCATATGGATAGATTTTCTAATAAAGTTAAATGTAAATAATACATGACCACACCACTATTCAATTCTTTTTCATGTTTATCCAAAGTTTATGAAAACTTGTACCTTATTTTTTATCTATCTTCCATCACTTATATGCCAAATCCTTTATTTCCTGAAATGAAATATTGATTTTTATCATCAAAATGCTGTCAATAATTATTACTATACTTCAAGATACACTAAAAGAGGAAAAATGTAAGTCAAAATTTGTACAGTTATTCTTCAATAAAAGAGAATAAAAATTAGGTTGATTTTCATGAAGTTTAAAATTAAATCAACAAGAACATGATAAGAAATTATAGGCTCCGATCGGGTCGGGTTCCGTTCGGGTTTAATCTTCAACCCAAAAAACCGGGTCGGATTCGGATAGAACCCAAATCGATACTGCGGGGATCCATGATCATGAGAGGACGGCGAGTATATGAACCGCGAGGGAGAATCGGGGGATTGGAACTTCGAGTATTTTCTTGACGAGGAGGAGATGCGATCAATTTTAGAGGAGCAGTACGAGCAGCATAGGTAGCGAACGGCGAGGGAGAATCGGGGAATTGGAACTTCGAGTATTTTCTTGCCGAGGAGGAGATGCGATAAATTTTAGAGTAGCAGTACGAGCAGCATAGGTAGCGCAGTGCGGCCAATTAGACGCAGAAGCGAGCAAGCAAAAGAGCGGGTGCGTGCGTCGCATCGAGCGAGGTGCACAGCAGGCGGGACGTGCAAAGTCAGGTGTGCAAGACACAAGAGGAGGAGCAGAGCTTTGCAAAACGGAGTGGAAGCCCATGCAGACAAAGACGGACCAGCTAGGCTTGCAGCTAACCTCTTATCGCTCGTTGCTTTACTCATGTCAGGATACTCACTTCGGATATCTTCATTTGTTATCATCAGCAACCTTCGACGATTTACAGAAAGCTACCGAAACTTGAAAAAGCTTCGGGAAGATGCTTTCAAGGTCTGGTCGCTACGATGAATGATCCAATTGCAGCCTTTAAGCTCCTTGCCTTTTTTTACAAGAAAATCTATCCCGGAGGTTTTGGATAAGAAAACATCGTCTCATTTCAACCGCTCTGCCCGCCCATCTTAATTTTTGAGTTTCGGGTCGCGTATAGCTCTCTACCCGAATCCAGATCCGAACTCAAGTTTTTGGGTTTTATCCAAACCCGATCGTAGCCTAATAAGAAATTAACACATATGTTATTTTACTTAGTTTGATAATGATTCATTAGTCTTGTGATCTTGCAAACTATGTGCTTTGTGGATGCAACTTCATTAAGTTGAAAAAAAATTTTTTTGTGGTTTCAGTGTAGTCTGTTTGCGTTAAGCAAATACTTTCTAAAATACTTTTGAAGATGATTATCAACTTCTTTGCAATTTAAGAGAGACGATTTCACCATTCTCACATCCAAAGACTAGAAGTCATGCTCTATCATAAATGTGTCAAAGATAGCCATTTCTGGTAATAAATGTCACAAATTAAATGATTAGACTATTAAAAAAGATATTCATGCAATCAACATATGCATACAACTTTGACTCTTTTTTTTTTAGATGTGAACCCAACATGAGACTATTATTTGTTAGCTCACCAAAGTATATGTCTCAAAGTTGAAGTGTTTTTTAGCATTTTAATTTCATATCATGATAGTGAATGGAAAAAAAATCAGATTAAAGTTGTGAATAGAAGAATTTTATAAAATAATTATACTAAATATATATTCATATTATCATATAATAATTTTTTTTATTTATCCAGTGATTTTTGAATGTAATGCATATTTATAAAAATGCAAAAAATCTAAATTCAATTTTTAACTAAATACAATCTTATGGAATTTTTGTGTGTGGAAATCTAAGTGATGTAAAGAATTGAAATTTTTTGAAAATCATTTATTTATGAATTATGAATTTTGAATTTATGTAGTATTCAATTATTTTTTGTCATCAAATGAGTTCTAATGTTTTTTCTTGACAAGCATATTTTGCATCCAAGGAAGTAGATGCAGCTTACTATCCCTTATCAAGCCTAAACAACTTTAGGTGAAGATCTTGCACACCACAACTTTGGTGTACACATCTTCTTTCTAAGATATGTGAGCAAGTTTACACTCTAATTATTCAACCTTGAAGTTGAAAACCAATGCGAGCATCTATAATTTAAAAAATTTTTCAAGTTCGGACTCTCAAGTTTCTAATTCAAAAGTTATAGATTCAAAATTTCCAAATCAAACTAGTTCCAATTCACAGATTTCCAAATTGCATGAAATGTCTCCGGATAATGCTGATTCAAAAATTCTGTTTGTAAAATGACATGTCATACTACCAATGATTACTTTATGTACTTGAAGTTCCATGCCCACTCTGAATGCTCCAATCTCAACACAACTTTCAATCGAGGGACATTTTGGTACAATACGACCCTATATATATAGACTTTTGATGTGGGAACATAGTAATTCACAGTTTTACACAAATGTGTAAACCTGTGAAGGACTATGTTTCAACATGTGACATTTACTCTAGAATAGGCTTTATAGAATTTGACATTCTATTTAAAAACTCCAGCTTTGCCATAATTAATCTGGCCAAATTGTCTTACTTTATAGAAACGGCGGACAACATGAAACTTCGACGCTCGCTTACAGTTAAAAAGCATTTGGGCGCTAAAAGAAGAAGCCATCGAAGGGAGGAGTGAATTAGGCTAAGAAGGTGATTAAAAATTCTACAAGAGTTTGGTATTTGAATGTGCATGAATTTGTTGGTAACTGCCAATCATTTTGCCACGTCGATATCTATTGAAACCTCAATGTGTTTTAAAACAAAAAAAGTTGTCAATAGATACCTGTATTCTTGGTAATACAAACTCAGCAGTGCAGAGCAAGTTGCGCACAAGAAAAGAGACTAAGTAAGAAAAATACGATTTGTGTACATTTTGTATCTTTTTTTTCACTTTATTTCTTTCATATCATTTATATAGCATGTTTTTTTAATCATTGTCTGTCTTCTCTTGACTAAAGCAAAAGAGACCAGTTACATTCATATTTATTTTTCACTTTCTTTCTTTTATAACACTTTTGTATTATGTTTGCTTCCATCATTAAAGATACTTTCTTGACTTAACAGAAGGATACAAGGTACATTTCATATCTTTCAATCACTTCTATTCTTCAATATCATTTTTGTAGCATGTTTGAGTCGATCATTGAGAGTATTTGCTTGGCTGAAACAAAATAATCCAAGTACATTTCATATCTTTCTTTCATGTTCATTCACAGCATTTCTGTAACATGTTTGATTTGATCATTGTGAATACTTTCTTGGCTCAAATAGATTGGGCTAGATACATTTCATATGTTTCTATCATATCATTTTAGCATATTTGTTTTGATCATTGTAGATCTTTTTTTGTTGGATTAGAACTTTCCAAGAAAGTGATGTTACATTTTTGGGCATTCAATCAATGAGACTCGTGGAAATGAAGAGTTGACAGTGACAGCAAAGCATTTGCAAGTCATCATGACTCAAACAACACCGTTTTAAATCAAGCATGCAATGTAATGTAATATTCAACTGATCCATCTGATGGATTCATAAAAACAATATGATTGTTCAATGTCTATGTTATGTCCACATTGGTTGTAAAGCAAGGATGCGGATGTGAAGCTCAACAAACCAAGAACACACAGCTAATTTAGATTTTATTCTATTTGGAGTATCAAAAATCATAAGGAATCTCAACATCTTCAAAATTGTACAAGTTATCAGTTGCTTTTGCATCAAGAGAAGATCACAATTTTCAAAAAAAAAAAGTATCTTGCATTCACCGTTAGCTTGACATGAACAAGAGTTTTTTTAAGTTTATTATTTCATGACATGCAATCGTGAATGTCATCGTGGAAAATTAATTTTTTTATCGGAAGGAAGAAGAAGAAGACTATGCGTCGAAATCGATCACCAAGATCAATGCCATGAAGTTGTTCAAACTGCAGCAAAATAAATCATATGTGATAACGATCAAGAAATTTTGCGATTCAACCTTGCCATGATCAAGCATCATCGTGCGACATTAAAAATTCAAAGCTCAACATGCTTAATGATCACACTATGGGTAGTTAGTGCATGTTCGCATTGACGTGCACATCATATAAAATATTCGCGTGAATTCAATGATATGGGCAGTTTTTTTTTAGCTAGTGATGCAAAAATTCATCTAAAATTTACTTTACTTGATCAATGAATTTGCA